GCGTGGACTTTCATAGAATCAACAGTTGACGCACCAAACTATTATTTATCTCAGGTAAGAAGTTATGTATTTTGTTGTGAATCTTTGAAGAATTTTCAAGAGGGGATGTCTTCTGCACTTGAGAGACATGTGCAAGAAATTAGCACCTATGGCTGGAGGGTTTTCACACTCTATGGTCCGATTCCAGACCCTTTTGGATGAGGATACAGAATGTAGAAGGGACTGGCTGGTCAGGCAATATCCGTGCTGGGGGTTGACACATTTTGCTCAAATACATAAAACTGAATGAACCTTTACCACAGTAATATGAGTACAGTAGTCGCTCGTACTACAATGACAAACAGCACCAACTTAAGTCGACAGCCTCGCCAAGTTCCATTGACAAAAACGCCATTCTCCTCCACAGCTTTAGCCTATAAGTCAAATCAAAGCCTCTTGTAACCCACACTACTTCTCACATCTGCAGCTGGGGCTTCACTTTCCCCCCAAACTCTAAAACTGCAGAGGCAAAGGCACATCATTAAAAGGGGGCCAAAATGTCCCCTTTACAACACTCCACGCGGCGAATTAATTTGAGAGCTGTCATTATGCAAGTGCGGCACAAATCGTCCAAGACCCAGTCAAACTATTAATAGCCGTCAGCAGCCCCGGAGCCAAGTGTGCCTGGATGGTGTCATTTGTATTGTTAATGGTAATGCTCTATTAGTTTGTTCCATTTGGCTCAGCACAGGTGCAGTAATGGGGCCCGGAGTGGAGAGGAGAGGGAGGAAGGAAGTGTGGGGATGAATGGCAGGGTTACAGCGCCCTCTAGTGGAGGACTGGAGAAGGGGAGAGGGAGAAGACCATACGTTGTTCCATATAACAAATAGATGGATTTATACAATGATAAAAGTGATTACTGTGATTATATTACTCAAAATTTACTCTGGAGGGCTTTAAGACATTTCATAACACTGTTGGCTCATCAAAAACATACCGCAGTTGTGTTTTGTTTCATTCACACAGGATATTCCTTCATTATTTATCTCCAAAGCTCAAAATGCTGTTTCTTGCGATATCATGTAGTGATAGTTTTTAAATCAATATCTACCTTTTACCTTATGTTCAGTAGAGATCTGCAATTCCAGGGCTGAAAATCATCCAAATGATTCTACCGAAGGTGTATGGACTTTAAAAACACAGTGGAGCACTTCCTAAACATGAACATGAAGAACTCAGCCTAAATATGCAGGCTATGTGTTTTAAACATGGTAAACATGAATGAAACAAAACACAACTCCAGGTCTGTTTGTGATGAGAAAATAACATTATAACAAAATATCAAAATATCGATATATCCTATCGTTTAATTTGATGATACAGTATCAATATCATGGGCTGCTGTATCAATATACCGGCAAGAGTTTTTAAAATATATTTAACTAAATTATTTTGTTACAGCACTACACTTTTGTTTTTGCTTGTTCAGAAGAAGGAAACTCGTTCATGCTATATAGAATATTCAGATTAAAATGTTTGTGTTTCATATGAACTTTGCACAAGAAGTGGTTTAACAAAGACTTTTAGTATCACAGCCATGATTTAGCCATTATTTTTTATTGAACCATATCAAATCATTTTGAAATATACCTTATCAGATCGAAAGTATCGCGCTGTACCAAGATATGTACTGTATCCTATCGACAACCTCTTAATGATACCCAGCCCTAATTATAACATAGATCAGAAAATAGCTAAATATGGGCCCTTTAATCTTGCAGAATAGTGTAAATTTTCTTTATTTGCTAGTTTTGAATCAATGCCTTTTGGATTTTAGAATGTGATAATGTCATACTCCCAGATAGGGAAGAAGAGCCAGTTTTCCCAAATGATTAAACTGTACATTGCCATGAAAAATCCAAAAAGTAAACTGATAAATGTTGAACCTGATCATTTCCATTAGTGACTAGACCTTGGAGTTTGCTATATCACAACAGAAATCAAAACGCATTCATTTCAGTATAGCTGTGTGATGTCATTTGAAACCCAGAAATAGAGAAATATAGGCTTTCATTTGGTCCAACCGTTTCGTTTTAACAGGAATGGAAGATCAGCAGATGATTAAAATAGTTAAAATGTCAAATGAACACATCACATTTGTATTAAAGAACTGGCAAATGTTTGGTGTAATTTCAATGCATGTTTAAAGCTGCACTATGTAACTTTTCTGCTTGTTTTCATGTCGATCACGTTAATGCTATGCTTAGAATATTTTGCAGTAAATATGCAGTTATTCATTTACCTGTGTTTTTGTTTTGGTTTTGCTCAAAAATACATTACAAAAACATGAATTACTGTGAACTTAACTTGGCCTGGCGTTGTTGCCTTATCGTCTTTGTGGAGATACACCAGGACTAATCTAAGCAAAGCAATAACATCTCCATGGAGACAAGCAGCACCTATGAAAAAAAGTAGTGTATTGTTATGGAAATTATACTTGTAATAATGAAGGAATTACAAGGTCAATTTGGGTCATATTTGCACAAAAGTGAAATAAATATATTACACAATGTTTATATTCTTTATCAGGGTTCAACCAAGGACAGACAGACGGAGTGGCGTAATTATCTTTTATCTTATTCTGACAATATTTGTGTGTAAATTAAATGAAAAACAAAAAAACCCAAAATGGCCTCCACAACTCTGAGAACAATAACAAAGAGCCATATTGTGTTCCTAATTAACCTCGTTCTGGTGCGTCGATACAGAACGCGCTCAGTCTTTCTAAATGAGAGCGACTCATTATCAGAAAGGAATCATCTGCTAATGAAACTAAGGCAGCCTCCAGCCAAATGCGGGGACTTTGTTTGGGGGTTGTTTGGTCCTCAAATTAGTGCAATGTAAAGGTTATGATTCGGAACAATAACTGGTGGTGCCCATGATATCAAGAATGTGTGCCAGTCAAGTACAGGGTAATTTGCATCCACAGTAGAGCTAAAACAATATATATCTCAGTCAAGTTAAAGGGCCCATATTGTGCCATTTTCCAATGTACGTATGTTATAATGTTGTTTTTCCATCACAAACATATCTGGAGTAGTGTTTGGTTTCATCTGAACATGTTTAACCCACAAATATTTAAGCAGAAGCGCTGTGTTTTTAAGATCCATATAGTAGTACATTCATATATGATTTCAGCCCTGAAACTGACAATAACTACTGAACAAAAGGTAAAGGGTAGCAGTTCTCAGAAGGTGGAACATGTGAGAATGAAACAAAACACAACTCCAGGTATGTTTGTGGTGAGTTAACAGTTTACAGGAGTCAGTTTTGTGTAATATAGGACCTTTAACAAATCACAAATGTTGCAATTATTTATATTAAGTCCTCTTTTAAATTACTTTGGATTCTTGCAGTTTATCAGTTCACATTTCAGTCTTCTCTCAAATCCTGCAGTTTTATACAATGTACTCTCTGAACAGAATCTTGCTTTTCGTGGTATTCCACTTCTGTAGTAGCCAGACTGTCGCCATCTAGTGCCTCCACTCAATTTCATTTCTTTCCTGCAACTAATCGGAATCGGAATACATGCAACGGTTTGCAAGAACCCTGGAAGTGCGAGTCCAGGCACCAGCCAATCAGCGAATACATTCTGTGTTGGCAACGATTCCTGAGATCGAGGATTAAAAGATGGAACAAAGACAATGTTTGGTGAATTAGCGACGCATTAGCGACGCATTACAGACGTCACGACCAAATAGCAGCAATTGGTTAAATAAAAAAGCATCCGCCTACCGTCGAGCGAACAAATCCTAATGCTGCAAGGTCAGACGGTTTCCGGTCTCCAAGTGAGACCGGCTGATGAATCAGGCTACTTCTACAGGGTATTAACTGCTAACATTTCGTTTGAGTTTGGTGGGAGCATGGGGAGAGATTCCTGGTTACGTAGACTTGCAGGCGGAGCGTTAGAAGTGACGTGGTATTGTACACTTAACTGAAGAGGGTTCAAATTGTGCCCCTGAGACACTGATAACTCAAACATGAATGAATGATTTAAAAATTCCTCTTAAAACTAATCACAATACATTTCTTAAAATTGCAATCTGATTTTTTTTCAGCATCATCAGTATTTTGTCTTAGGTAAATTTTCCATTCTTGGCAATTTAAAGGTCCTATATTACGCAATATTGATGTTTGTGAGTCATCTTAGTTTGCTGTTACCTAATCAAAAACATACCCAGAGCTGTGTTTTGTTTCAGTCACACATGTTGAGTAATCCTTTATTAATAGTCTACATCTCCAAAGCTCAAAATGCTCTTTTCCACTTAGTAGGGATGTAGCAATATCCAAATCTCTGGATACGCATCTCATGGTACGATATTTATTGCCATATTTTGGAGAGGCTGATATAAATGTAGAGAGGACACTTTTTTGCTTTTAAAATACCTTGATGGGAATTTGGTGTGAACCATTACTGTCATAATCTCAAGAATTCAAGTAAAAAACATAACTTCATGTTGTTTGAGCTGAAATGACTCATGGGAATATGTAGTTCCCTATGTTGATCAGCTATTGCTACTATAAAACAATGTATTTTGTGATTCGATATATTGTGACAGCCACGTGATTATTGTGAGACTTTTGACTATTTCAGTTATTGTTACATCCATACCACTTAGTGATGTCATGAAGCAGGTTAACAGTGACATTTTACCTTTAGAAACTGTAAATTCGAGGGCTGAAAGTATCCAAATGATTCTAGTGAAGGCGTATGGAGTTTAAAAACACAGTGGAGCGCTTTCAGTATTACCACATGACATCACAAGGTGGAACTGACTGTTTTCTATAAAAAGTCAGCCTAAATATGCAGGATTTGTGTGTTAAACATGTGTGAATTGAACAAAACACAACTCCAGGTCTGTTTATGATAAGGAAACATTATAACACTGATCAGAAAACAGTGTAAAATGTGTCTTTAAAGAAGGAGCTACAGGAAAAAAAAAGAATTAAAGAAACCAGGATCAGCGATGAGGGTAGTTCTGTATTGATGTTAAAAGAACAAAACAGTGTCAGTTCAAATGAATTCATAACCAGTGAAACTCCAGTCTGAATCAAGGCACTATCTCTGCGTCTGTCACATCAGTCTAACCCTGTGTCCACCCCAAATCACACATCACTTCATTTTCCATTAATAATTTCAGTTCAGTATCAAACAGCGGCCCTGTGTAACCTCTGTCACCAAATGTGTGTAGAACATGTTGTACAATTGACAACATCTCAGGAATGAATTAAAAAAAAAAATTGTCAGACAACCACCAAAGGAAGCAGTGGTCCAGTTCTCTCACAGGTTTGGTCCAAAACATGTCAGCTCCATGTTAAAAGAGAATGTACAAAGACAATGTCATCTGTAAACAAGGACTGCAGATGTGATCCCTCTGTAAAAAGTGAATGGAAAATCTGTCTTGTTCTGTTTGTTGGCTATTTTAAAAGTGCATTGCATAACTTTTCTAATCTCCATGAAGATGTCACGGCTTTAAATAGAGATAAAAAAATATGGGTTATTTCATGGCTGATGCAGATACCAATTGTTTAGAATACAGCGCAACTAATGGCCGATAAGCTCTCTTAATATTTCTGGTCCAATTTTTATGATTTTTCCCAAAGTATGTAATTTAAATGTACCTTTAAGAGAGCAGCTTAGTCACATTTTCAACAGTATTCTCTTTGTATTATAGTGTTTTTATAAAAAGATTTGTGTGTATTTCTTAAGCAATAGATTGACCAAAACAAAATATCAAAACATCTATGCTGGAAAATGTAAAGCCAATGGACGATATGCTAAAGTGTCCAAATCCAATCGATATATCGGTCAATCTCAAGCTTTAAAGGTGCTTGGTAAAAGGTAACTTGGAGGATCCACTACTTTCTTGTCTCCATGAAGATGTTTTTGCTTTGCCTGAATTGTTTCACAGTAAATTTAACTTATCTATCTCCATGGAGACAAGCAGGTGATGCCACAAGGCCAAGTTACTGGTCACAGTAAGAAAGCATATTTTGCAAGGTATTTCTGAGCAATGAAACTACGTGTAACTGAACTAATACAAGACAGATTAATGCTATTCCTGGCAAAGCAATGACTTAAATCAGACATGCAGACTTCCAGAAGTTACAGAGGGCACCTTTAAACAATAACCTTGTCTATTTTCTCATGTCAGATGGTTTGTATTGCTCAAAAATATCTTGATGCCATGCTATGGAATATTCTAGGCCAGGAGTCTCCAACCTGTAGCTTTCCATCCCCTTCCAAGTAGCTCGCCAAGCTATTTTGGAATTATACCTTTGTGCTGAACCATGGTATTTGGTTGATTATATGCCTATTACCATCGTACATGTATAATTTTAAAGCCCAACTTTATGCACTAACAAATGGACAATGGTTTGGTTTTACTGGCATCTAACTGTACCCAAAGGCTCACCCTCTTTCTTATAATAATCTCAATTTCTCGCAGCCACTAAAACGAGCTAGCTCTCTGGCATTTTTGTTTTGTAAAGGTAGCTCACCAGTGGAAAAAGTTTGGAGACCCCTGTTTTAGGCATATTTCCATGGAGACAAGTGTCTGAAAAGTTACACAATGCACTTTTAACTTTATAATCATATTTGTTAGTGTTAACAAGAGCATCAAATAGCATAAATTTTCTTTTACTTTGAGCTTCAAATCATGTTGGGGTTAGTTAGTGTTAATACAAATGTTCAAAAATGGCCTGGTTTGAAACTTCATTTGTTGAAGCTTACAAAAAAAAGACAATACTGAAATTTGACCAAAAGAAAATCCTGAAAAGGTGTGCTTCACTGTACAGTACAGTGCAACTACACAGTTAATGATCATAATTTGATGACAGACGTGCTCCAAACAAGTCAGGTGATGATCTGTAGAGAAAAAAAAAAAGCACAAAAAAACAAAAAAAGTTTCAAATTTAACACCACACATTCCAGGTAAAATGTCATGTGTATTTTCTGAGAGCTCACAGGAAAAGGAGCAAGCGTGATTAAAACTAATTACAACTCCAAATAAGTTTTTGATGAAGGAACAATGTTATTTCATGGTTAAAAGCTCAAAAAAGTCAAAATTGTGTTCTTTAAATGTGCACGGTGTAACTTCTAAGGTGGAGGGTTGCTTGCTTGATCTTATTTATTTGCGTGGAATGTTCCTCAGTACAGCATTAAACATATCTGCCTTGCATTTACTCAATTATAGGTGTTTTAAAGCTCAAAAATACATGAAATACATTGAAAAATATAAGTTCTCACTATGTGCTGGCTTGCTTCTCCATAGACATGACCATTAACTTGTCTCCGTCAAGTTTATTTCCATACTGTGAAATAATCCAGGCAAAACAGCAACATCTCCAAGCCAAGGAGACACCAGAAAAGTTACACAGTGCACCTTTAAGCTCTTCCACAAATTGAATTATTTTGCTTTAGGATATTAAAGGTAATTTTAGCTGAATAGGCAGAAAGGTTGATGGTTGAAGGCTGTGAAACAACGGGCCATATGTATCTGAAGAGAATGTTGGTGTGAAAACTTTGATTATCACTGCACTACAACTCCCACCAAGAATAATATTTGGCTTTCCAAGTACCACTAAAATCTAAACCCAGACTACATCAGGTCTAAATTGGGCCTAAACAATGACTAACCCAAAAGAAGACAAAAACAATATAGATTTGAATTAAACAGATACTCAAACTGCAGAGGACCCCATGTACTACCAGTTACATCATTATAGTATAAGTTACTTTGTGTAGTTTGATCCTATCAACTACCAGACAGGACAGTACCTAGAAATCTCCCAGATAGATTACAGACCTTTTAAAATATTCAACAGCTTTGTTCATTAATGTTTATTTTAACCAACAAGTATCAAAGATTTAAAAGAACTTTCAAAGTGTGTAACCCTGTCTCATTCAAAAATATTACGTTCAAACTTCTAAAATGTTTATTCAATTTATTCATTATTTAGTGTTAAAAAGAAATAGACCTATATAAAAACAAATTATTTTGAAATGCCACTGGATGTGAGATATGAAACAGACCAAAAAAATGTTGGTTTAGAGACAAATTCTGTAAAATTCAAAACTACATCTCTGCTTGATCCAAGTTTTTCATGTCGAGTTTCCTCAACAGCTGCACTGGCGGGAATAAGAAAACTTTCCAATGAACTTCTCCACTTTCAGGAGAGCTAACTTCCCCAAATATAAATTTCAGGGAGCAGATTCCAGCATTCAGCACTAGACAAACCAGCGTCTCTTTTGGACCAGTGTTTAACCCCTTTAGTGTCCAGAAGAAGTCCAGTGTCTCAGTTGACTTTGGGGTAGATTTTTTCGTAGAAGAAGCTCTGCGCCAACACGTACAGCTCGCCGTCCTTCTCCCTGACAGCATGGGCACGCACAAACTGGAACTGTTCAAGGGCAAACTCGTAAAACTCATTCTCCATTTTCCAGATGTTGGACTGCTGCAGTTTCTTGATGGTGTCTTGGGTCGGGGCCTTTTTCTCCGTGGTCTTCCTCAGATGGGACTTCTTTCCTGAATAGCATGGGAGATAGATTTAAGATGTGGTGAGTGACATACAGGGGCGGACAGAGCAGCCAAAAATTGTATTCCAGTAAGAGTTGCTTCAAAACAATATTACTCAAATGGAGATGAAATGTAGTGGTCCAAAAAATAGTAACGGAAAGAGTAACTGTCGAGATGAAGTCTAAGTTATATGTACATGTCAGTGGAAGGACAAAACACTCAATGCACAAAATCTGGAATTTTCAAAGGATAAACACAAAAATTAGACAAACTAAATCATATCTGAAGGAGCAGGGCAAGAAACACAAATATTCAAATCGATTAGGCTTACTCACAGTGGGAAGAGTAACCCAAACTTTTACTCACTGTGTTCTTTCTATAAATATATTAATCAAGTAGGAGTAAAAGTAAGCCGCTAGAAAAGTACTGTTTTTACTTTTGATACTTACTTCCAGGGCTGTGGTATTATTAAGCATTACATTTATACAGTGCCGGTCAAGACACCCCAAGTGCTTCACAGTTCATTGTTCATTCACTCTGCACCTGGTAAGCTACTATTACAATAGTAATGCCTGAATGCCCACTAGGGATGGGTATTCGGTTAAATTTTCTTAATCGTCAGGAGAATTAACAATAGATTTTCAAGTAATCATTAACATTTTTATATTAAAATTATCATCACTATTACCAATCTGCATAATTAAATAAACTGACCTTTACAACATATAAACCATAACCACTATAGAGCCACATCAGCCCGTTTGAGATTATAATGTGTTTAATGCAGCTTTGCCACATTTGTTTACCTTTTACAAAAATGAAACTTAAAACCACATGGCTAATTTGCACAAACTAAAAGCGCTGCTCTTAGCTCTTAGCGTAGCTTTTTATTTAGCAGTCATTTCACTCACTTTATTTATGCTGGTCACTTTATTTTGGCTACGGTTGTGATGAAAAGACTGAAAAGTGTTTTTTGGACACATGCACTTTATGTTGCAGTAACCGGGATACTGTGTAAACATGCATCATGACGGGACACTGATGTTCATGTAAACACACTCAATGAGTGGTACAGTGATCTCCAAGGAAGTGCGCCAGAGCCGAAACATGGGACTGTGAGACTGCAACTCCAGTGTTTCCACTGCCAGCCTCATCTCTTTACGCTACGCACAGCAACCTACATTTGGTTTGTCGATTAAAATGAAAGTCATCGACGAAATTCTTAACATTCTATTATCGATTAGTTGACAAATCATGCCCATCCCCAGTAGCCACAGCTGCTCACGGGCAAACTGATGGAAGCGAGGCTGCCAATCTGTGCCATCAGCCCCTCTGGGGGTACCAAACACTCACGCACATCCCACTTTCATACTAGGCAATGTGGGTGAAGTGTCTTGCCTAAGGACACACCAACAGTTATTGCTACTGGCGTCCCCAGCTTAGCTTCTGAAATCTGACAAGATGAGGCTTCGACAAGCTGGTACAGCCACATGATCACATTTTAATCACATTTTAATCAAGACTGCAATTTGGTAATTTGTGACTGACAGTGATCAGCTTGGGTCTTTTTAATGGAGAAGTCTACAGCCAATCATCTGCTACTATTGGTTTGGAGCACTTTTTTTTGGAGCCCTAACTTGCCATTGCCAATGATTAAATGACTGTTCAGGAAAGTAATACTGAAATCCATTATTAGCTGTTTTAATAAGACAAAATTAAATAGTCTCAAAAGTTGATGAATTTGAATATGAGAGAAAATTATTATTTTTGACATATCGCCAAGCCATATACGCATTACGTTTTGCTTCAGTATATGAAGAAAAAAATGTCTTGACGTCCTGTCGTTTTTGCTGAGAAACAGTCCATTTCCTGTCACTTGATTTGTGTATTTTAATATTCTTCACATTGAATAATGCTATGAAATACTATGGTAACACACTATTTTGTTTTCTCCTCAGCGTTTCCAGACATTACTTGGGTATACTTTTGGCCACTCTCCCCCCACCCCCTGTTAGTGATTCAGTGGAATAAAATAGGTTCTTGTCCATTAACTGCACTGGCATCAAAACAAAACAGTTGTGTGGGTTTATTCATGATCTATGACTGGATTTGGACATTTTTCGGTACTGAAAGAGCGAGTTTTGTCCGGTAAGTCAATCCAAGTGGAACACCAAAATAAATTTATGTCTTATTTTGATTATAAATTATATAAATGGGTTTTAAATGGAAAAAGCTTTAATGGGCCTCATCAAACTCTGCAGGACGTCAAAAAGAAAAGGAAAACGTTTCTTAACGTTGTAAAAAATGTTTTCTTTATGTTTATGTCTTCAGTGTATGGCACTTAATGACATCCCAGAATAAAAAGCGCTGTACCTGATTTTTATTCCATGTATTTATTCCTCACATTATTAATGCACTAATAGCATCGTAATTACTCACTTTCAGTGGCATGACACCCACTGGTAACAACTAGCGTGCTGACAGTTCACTAATTCCTGGTTTGCGGTCTTATTTTTACCCCAAAACCAGCTTTTATAACACTGAGCTGAACGTGTTAAAAGTTTATCTAGTTTTGGTCAGGGATAAAACTGTTTCAAACTTTTTTTTTCCTGAACATAGCAGGTCAGATGACTCAGTACCTGATTTGTAGAGCTCTGTGGCCCCTTTAAAAAACCTGGGCACGGCAGCCTCCAGGATCATGATGAAGTCCTCCAGTTCCTCGGTCACTCCCACCAGAAGATACTCATTCACCAGGTTCAGCTTGGCCTGCTCCAGAGCCCAGTGGCTGCCTGCGTTCCTGCAAAGTCAGTTCAATTTATTTTTATATTGTCCAAGATCACAACTGCACTCGTCTCACGGGGCTTCACACAGTTCTTGGTTTATCCAACAGAAAGTTAGAAAACCAAACAGTGAAACAGGCAATGGAAAAACAACTAGTCAAAGAATGATTTATATTGTACATTTTCAAATACAGTATTAACCAAATAATAAAAGGTGAAAATATGGTGACTGAAATCTGAAATTGTTTATTATTTGTTTTTACATTTTGATTGAATAATGCTGTAAAAATGGTATATTGTTCTCAACTTTCTTTTCTTTTCATCATTCAATTGAACCAGCAGTATTAGAACAAAACAGTCAATGAAATAATTACAAAAAGATTAGAATTATACAAAACATGTGGGCCTGTTTGCATTTTTGTAGCGTGTTCTAGTCCAGGGTGCAGGAGGAGAGCGCAACATGAAGATCAGGCGCAGCATTCAGTCTGTTTCTGTGCTTTGTCTTCATTTTTGTGAGCACAGAAAATCCCAATTCACACATATATGTAGTAGTGAAAGGAATAAGCATAGAAACACTGGCCCTACTGAGGACAGGATATTCTGAGGAAATGTTTATCCAGAATGACAATAATATATTCCCTGACTCGCTCGCTCTCTCATGTGTCAGAACTGTATATTGTAGACCTATACGCAGATCGTGACAAGGCAACCCAAAAAAATCTCTTGCGACCCACCTGAGGATCGCGACCCAGTCTTTGGGAAACAATGCTTTACATCAAGGAACCACTCGCCTATTCACACACATTCATACACCAAAGTACACGGAGACTGGAGGTGATGGAAGTTAAGTGTCTTGCCCAAGGACACAGCAATTGAATTCATCTGGTTGAGCTGGAATAGCACTGCCAACCTGTGAGTCAGTAGATTTGACTGCTCTACTGATGATGTTTATGTCAAAAGTGGGATTCAAATCGCCAGCCTTCAAATCCCGCTTACGTACTGAGCTACTACCAACACAGTCTGTTATAAAAATGTCTTTCTGTGTGTGTTTATGTGTGTATGTGTCTGTATAGCCAGAATGCAACTACGACTGTTTTTTTTTTTATTTGACTAGTCACATTTAGTTGATTAACTGTTGCAGCTTTGAAATCTCTGAAATCCCCAGTGGGACAAACACATCACACATCACATATAAACAAGTACAAACAGTGTGAGACAGGCCTGGGTCAGCTGTAGTCCAATGATTGGTCACTGTTCAATGATAGATACTCTATAATGAGCTTTATAATGAGCTTTAGACACAGCGCTCAATGTTCTAATTTAAAGGACCCATCCCCCAACAACAGTCACACACACACATGACCCTAGTGACTACACTTATTGCAATCACAAGGTACTTAAAACACAGAGCATTACATCCTATGTATGTAGCATCTCAGAGAAAACTAATTACACACAAGTAGGCCTGGTTTCACTCAACTGATTAGGCTTAGAGTATCGATGGGTACAATAAATGCATATAAGTAATAAATGTGATTTTGATTGGGTGTATCAGAATCAGATTTGGGTCTGTGCCTTGGTCTTTATCTAGAGCTAGCCCAGAGCAAGTCTTTGTTGTAATATAATATTGAATAATACAGTGATTGATAGGCTGTGACTGCACCAAAAATGCAAAAATACATGCATGTGTAGGCTAGCTGGGTTGTGTTGGAAATTAGCCAATATAGCAAGAGCTTTCTTCTTGAGTAACACAAAATATGCAGATAGGTTTGAAGAAGGTTTGTTCCAACGTAAAAGTGCTATTAAAAAGTAGCGGGTCTCACCAGCACTCAGAGTGGTGTCCACAGAAGAAGGGGATCTGCAGCCACAGCTTCTCAGGAGCACAGTCTGAGCCTCCAGACGCTACGCACTCATCAAACGTCTGAAACACAAACAAGATGGTGAAGGCTCTATGTAGGACTATAATACTTAATGAAGTAATAGAAATGTGGATTATTGTCTATGATTTTATTTTAAATATTGATAGTTGAACACAAACTGATTCTAACATTTCTGAATTGGATTGGTTGTGCAAACTGTCTAAATGTTTAGCATATTGCAAGTCTGATTTGATAAATGATGACCATTAGACTGATGAAGTCTGCAGAATATAGTAATATAGCATGAATCATTTTGGACATATCAAAAATCAAAAATATCAAAAATACACAAAAAGAAAGAAAGAATATAATTCAAAAGGGCCCATATGATGATGTTTAGGGGTGGCAGTAGCTCAGTGGGTAGTATTTGTTCACTGATCCAAAGACTTGCGGTTTGTATCCCGCTCTCGACATAAAACATCCAGGGTTGAGCAGTAAGATCCACTGACCCCCAGGTCGGTGGTGCACAGATGAATGCTGTCATTGTGTTCTTGGGCAAAACACTTAACACACCTCGACCCCAGTGTCTGCCTACACTGGTGTATGAATGTGTCTGTGAATGGATTCCTTGATATAAAGTGCTTTGAGTCATTTGAAGATGGAAAAGCCGGAAAATGTGACCATTTACTATTTTCTGATTTATGTTATAATGTTGTTTTCTCATCACAAACAGACCTGGAATTGTGTTTTGTTTCATTCACACATGTTTAAAAAACAAATCCTGCATATTTAGGCTGAGTTCTTCACAAAAAACACTCTTTTCCATCTTGTGATGTCATGTGGCAATACAGGAAGTGCTCCACTGTGTTTTTAAACTCCATACACCTTCTCTAGAATCGTTTGGATAATTCTAGCCCTAGAATTTTCAATATCTACTGCACAAAGGTAACTCTTAACCTGAAAACCCATCAAGTAGTAGACAGACTAATAATAAAGAGTTACTCAAACATGTATGAATGAAACATAACACAACTCTTGGTATATTTTTGAGCAGGTAACAACATTATAACATGGCTTGAAGCTCACAAGGGTCAATTTTGCGTAATATATGACCTTTAATGCATACTACTTTTTTTTTCTGGAGGAATTGTTAGCATTAGAGTACTTTGGGACACTTAGCAGTATACTTTGATAAGAAATGATAAAAGATTAGACAAATAGCTTTACAGATTAAACAAAAACCACAATGATCAGCTTTCCATATCCTACCTTTTTATCCCCTTGCTTCCTCCTTCGTAGTCCAGGCCTGTAGTCGTCTCCAAACCTCAGGAAGTAGTAATAGGACACCAGGCGCTCTATAGGATCCCTCACCACATTAATATACAACGGCTTCCCTTTCACTCCATACCTATAGACACATAAAGCATTCTCATTTAAAAGTGCACTTGAAAACTCAGACAGCCTCTCAATGCTCTGTGAACCTAGTGTTTATTGTACTTAAGAGGGAGCCTCTTTCCATTAGCAAAAACACAACGCAAGAACACTTAGGATAATTAGCTTTGATGACTGAAATGATACAGCCAGTGGAGATAAGGACAACAAAGCCATTAATCAACACTGCAGCATTAGCATTAGCGGTCAATAGGAGATCCCCGCTATCTGGAGAGCTAACTGTTTCCAACTCATCTGGATATGAACGCTATTAGAGTAAGTGGGAAATACGGGCGTACTTGGAGAAGTCGAGATAGGCGACATGGCCGTGGTAAAAGCCCGGTTTCATCTCTTTCCAGGAAGTGACATTTCGGACAAAGCGCACCTGTGCACAAGGACAGTGGAGAGGAATTAGTAACAAAACAGGAAGATAATACACATATTTTTAGACAACACAGACTAATACAGTACAAGTGGATTATTAATGTTAGGGCTGAACAAGAGTATTTCCATTTTAAAAGGGAGCATTTGAGAACACACCCATGGGCATTATCATTTAAGAACAGACTGATATACAAAACTAATACAAAAATCCCATGCATTTCAGAACACGTTTGCAGAGGTATAAACTTGTCATGTCGACTGAAAGGCATTAAACCTGCAGCAGTTTATCACTGACTGAGCTTTTTTTTTTTTTTATTTAAAAAGGTACATTGTGGATCTGGTGGAAGGTCCTTCAAATGCTTTTCTCCGTGGAGATGTTATTGCTTTGTCTGAAATGTTTCACAGTATGGTATTGAACCTTTCTATCTTGATGGAGATTAAATCAAACCAGGTCAAATCTGTGGAGAGACAACCCCGCTGACGGTGAGAATGTTGTTTTTCCATGTATTTTTGAGTTATAAAGCCACTGGTGATTTAATAAATGTAAGGTAGAACTGTTTAGTTGTTGAATGTCATGCTGTGCAACATTCCAGAGAGAGCAGTGACGTACAATAATAATAATAATGATAATAATGCATCAGTTTTATATAGCACTTTTCTGGACACTCAAAGATGCTTTACAGAGCATTATTCACTCCATACCCGGTGGTGGTAAGCTACTAGTGTAGCTAGAGCTGCCCCGGGACAGACTGTTGGAAGTGAGGCTGCCAATCTGTGCCACCGACCCCTTCGACCACCACCATCACGCGCACACACACCACTTTCATACCAGGCAATGTGGGTGAAGTGCCTTGCCTAAGGACACAATGACAGGCACTTGATTTTCCCAGTGGTCTCCTATCCAAGTACTAACCAGGACCGGCCTTGCTTAACTTCTGAAATCTGATGAGATCAGACTTTGACAAGCCGGTCATATAAACAAGCAGGTGACAGACGTCCAGCGAAAACGTTTCACAGTGCACCTTTAAATAAACTGAATGTTTTTATTCAAACATGTTATGAGCAAAACGGTATGTTACTTTGCAGCTATTATGGAAAATCTCAAAATAACAACAGTATGAAAGTGGTATGTGTGAGTTATGGTGGTGGTCGGAGGGGCCGATGGTGCAGATTGGCAGCCTTTGCCTCAGGGCAGCTGTGGCACCAATAGTAGCTTACCACCACCGGGTATGGGGTGAATAAATAATGCTCTGTAAAGTGTCTTTGTGACATATGTCTGTGAAAAGCGCTATTAGTCCTTACTTACATATAGTTATATCGACATTGATGCTGTTTTGATATACTAATTTTATAATAGTAATAATGTTTATAATACAAAAAAATATGCCTCAAAATGCTGCAACTTGTTTTATATAACGAAAACTGGGCAAGCTTCTAATCTTTCTGTACTTTTTTCCCTTTTTTAATATGCTGGGAATATCAAAATATTCATCACTGTGAATATCCAGACTCAAAACACTCTTCTCTCTTCTCTTTTGATGTTAATTTTATGATGATTATTTATGTTTTGATTTGTTTGTATGCTGATTTTAATGTGTTTCTTATTCTGTAAAGCACTTTGAATTACTTTGTGTACGAACTGGGCTATACAAACAAACTTGCCTTGCCGATCTCCCACCCTAACCTTTAGTGTCTTGCCCATGGACACTACAACAGCATAAACGGAACAGAAACCAGATGAATACGATCAAAGAGACCACGACATCAAGTTAAACAAACATGCTTCTCATTATACTGTCTAGTGGAGGGGGGTACTCGTAGTAAAACAATAGCAGCGCCAAGCCTTAAACAGAAAAGTCAGACTGGCATGTGCACACAGTAACAACTTTGGGTTCTGAACACCTGTAGGTAATATTTCATAATGTCCTGTGGTTTGAGTTGAAATTATGGCAATGTCAAAACCTGGATTTGGCAGCGCTGCGTGGCTTTCCTGGAAACAAGACAAATGTTCCTGTTGAAATGAAACGATAGTGATGTGTGGTGTGGTGCTTTATCCTCATTAAAATAATAATAATGATAATCAGTAGAGCTCAGCCTGTAGTGACATGGCGCTCAGGATATTACCTTGGCATCGGAACCAGATTTCACCAGCACAAAGCCCCGGGCTGTTTACTGTGTCCTGGGCTAAACCACAGCTGTGCCCGTGTGGGGTGGATGCGGGGTGGGTTTGTGGGGTGCCATGAAAAGAGCGGTGTCAAAAAGTGGGCGAAAAGTCAATGCGCCACTTTGGAAATTGTGTGAGAATGTCAAAGTGGTCAAAAACAGCACCCCTAAAGGCACAGCAGTACTTTTAGCTGACAACATGAAGCTTTTATATTTTTTTTAACACTAACACAGAAAATAATTAAAGAAAGGTTTAATAATACTGCCAGTACCAGCATGCAAGCCGCTCTCAATGTTATGGGAAAAATATGACCTGCGTAGCTTAGTGTGAAAAGTGCATTAAAAGGTATACTGTGCAACTTTTCTGGTGAAGCAGATGAAACCATCAGACCAAGTTACAAGTCAGAACTGTCAAAAGGCGGCCACACTCAAAGCAAGAATTAATTAATGGTTTTAAATGCATTTTGAACAATATAAACACATCTGTGAGGAAATAAATGCTGGAAATATACGTTTAATGCCTCTCTACCGAGCAGGTGGCTGCCATTTAAAACAGAGCTGTTAAATCGACTTTTTAGAGGTTTTAACCATGTTATAGTTGTTTTCTCTTCTTGTTTACCCACTGTTGTATTCAGTGTGATTCATGCATGTCTGAGTAATCTTTATACTCAAGGCACTTTTCCTCTGATCTACCCCCCATTTTCACCTCCACCGGTACACGCCCACTGCCCTGTACTTACATCACTCACCAATTTTATCATTGATGTAGTTATGAAAAAAATATCTGCTACTCGCTACAGTGATCTGTGGCTATACATAGGAGGCGCCGAGAAGTCTGCAGCTCTTTGTTCTGATGATGTTTACAGCAATGACAGCTCCCGTTGTGCACCGCAGTTTTCGGAAGACTCCAAATTAATTTCTTTTACTAAGTCATTAAATGTGTATTAAAATAATTATAGTAACTGAATCATGTCAATTAAAATGCCATTAATTATTATATAATAGATTATAACTATATGGCAGACAAAAACACAATGTGTCTTCATTCAGATAATCATTTCATCACATAAGATCAATAGGTTGACCACAACGTTTGACGATTAATCAATGTAAAGGCACTGAATACTGCTGTTGTATGACAAATTAAACCATGGATGCAAAATGGCAAAGTGTAACTCAGAAATCCTGTAACTGTCCTGTTTGAGAAACATAAATGCATTTATAGAGGGCTGTGCAACTGTGTGCAAATACAGTCAGTTCTAATGGTCAGCTTGGGTCTTTTTAATTGAGAGGTCTACTGCTAATCCTAGCAATCAGACTTTAGAGGATTTTTTGTGTGTGTGTGTGTGTGCAATTTTCATTTTTTTGTGTTAAATGTTAATGATTATGTTTTTTATAAAGACAAAATCAACTTCAGTCAAACATGGTCTCAGTCCTAATCCATGGTTTAGTTTAGAACGTAAAGCAAAAGAATAGCGTCCCGGCTCTGACCTGGTCTTGTAGGGACATGACCGGGTTGTTTTTGCTCGTATTGATGTGAAGAACGTGGAAGTTGTTCTTGGGGCAAAGGTCGTATGCGATGTTGGTGAAGGAGGTGCTGCCGGTCTTTGGGACCCGGTTGTAGATGATGACAGTATCGTCTCTGTCTGATGTAACAGCAGACTCTCTCCCCAAAGACTCGCTGTGCCTCTGCTCCACCTGCGCCACCTCATGTCTGGCTATGGTGCGCTCTGAAACACAACAAGGACAACAAGGTAAGGTCAGGGATGGAATGCACTGTCATAAATTATCACTAATGACTGTCTTACATATGATCTGTTTAATTTAGGTTACACTTTGGACATGGACACCTTAGCACTGTGTTAGAACTTCAAGGGTCCATACTACGCCAGTTTTTGATCTATATTGTAATATTGTTTCCTCATTTAAAAAAAACATACCCTGAGTTTTGTTTTGTTTGTTGTTTAACACACAAGTCCTGTATATTTAGGCTGAGTTCAACAGTTTCTCAAACAGAAAACACTCTGTTCCATCTTGTGATGTCATGTGGTAACACAGGAAGTGTTCCACTGTGTTTTTAAACCTCATACACCTTCACTAGCATCATTTCAATCATTTCAGCCTTGGAATTGCCAACCTCTACAGAACTAAAGGTTAAAGGGAGCTGCTAACTTAAAACTTGAGCTCACAAGAGTCAATTTTATGCAATATAGGACTTTCAAAATTATATAAGTTAAGGGAATTGTATGTAACTTTCTGCATCACCTGCATGATTCCATGGAAACAGAAAGTTAAACCCTCACTTTGGAATATTGTCCATGGAGATAGAGAAGCAAGCATTAAAAGGCTCTCCAGCAAAAGAAATAGGTTCACTCACAGTAAGGACATGTTTAGTAGGCCTGTATGAACACAAATTTTGAAGTACTATACATTTATTTCTCAAAAAAAAACCAATTATGTGCAGTACTGTTAATGAACATGAGCTGGAATAAATATATGAAACACATAATGACCAACAGGTATTGTTCTATCTAACAAATATTAAAGGATAAGTCCATGGATAAGTAGCATAAAGTAGTAATTATCATGACGGGCCTATGTTTTCTATGCAAAACAAACAACATCTAAGTTGAAGTGAAATCCCTCAGTGGTCCAGGTAGGATCAGAGTGAAGGAGAACAACACGGAACAACATGGTTTTATTTTAGTCTATTTTTCAGCTAAAAAGTTACAAATGATTTGAATTGTGAATGATTAATAAAAGGGAAAAATGTGTTTATTTTTGTTACTATATCACCCAGCCCCAAGCAAGAGACTAGGATGTTTTGATGTGCAGATCTAGGCATTAGATCTTTTTGATTGCAATAATTTATTTGGCAATTTTACATTTATGAACCGATTCTTCCTGCACAGCCTGAACAAACATCCCACTTTTCCACAGTAATGAAGTTGTATATTTCCACAGTCTTTAGTGAGTTGTTTACTGTTTTCCTCTGGCAGCAGGTGGAAGGGCCAACAACCCCGCAATAAAGACAAAGAAATAAACCGCTACTTTTTAAATTAAGGACACAGAAGCTAATTAGCCAGGCTTAATTAAGGAAACAGCCTAGCCCTCAAAATACAATACCACAGAAACAACTCATTAGGGCTTCCATGATAATATTGACAGGAGGCATAATTAAAAGTGTTGCTCTCAGCTCGCTTCGGCGCAGTGTTAATTAAAGGCGGTTACAGCAGTGGCCTTCGTCTACGGCTGCTGCTCATTCGCTCCGCTCAGAAGGAAAACATATGCACTGGGAGAAAATAAACATGAAAGAATAACAATTAAGAGCCGCAGATTGTAAACAAAGAGCACAATTACAGCGTTAAAATAATACGGTTATAAATGGGACTAAAGTGAGCTGGTTTGTGCATTGTTGTGTCTGGACATGAGTTTATGAAATTAAATGAAGTGTACATTGTCGTGCAATAAGAAGACAAAACGATATTTTCAGGAATTTAATTGAATAAGTCTTAAAGGACTCATATTCCGCTAGTTTCTGATCTATAAACATACCTGGAGTTGTTTTGTTTCATTCACACATGTTTAACACACAAACCCTGCATATTTAGGATGAGTTCTTCTCTCAAACAGAAAACACGCTGTTCCACCTTGTGATGTCATGTCGTAATACAAGAAGTTCTCTACTGTGTTTTTAAACTTTATACGCTTTCGAGTTAGCATGTTGAGCTTTGGAGTTGCAGACAGACTAATAATAAAGAGTTACTCAAACATGTGTGAATGAAACAAAACACAACTCCAATTCTGTTTTGAGGTGGTCCCATGGGACAAGATCTTATGCTGGTGTCACAAGATCTCACAAGACAAAACTGCCACAAGATTGTGCACATAGGAGAAAAAATTATCTCATGAGATTTCCCCCCTGAAGTTACCTTTGGGTTGAACAAAAAAAAAAAAGAGAGAGAGAGAGAGCGAGAGATAAGAGCTGTTGAGTTACACAATTTGAGACGATGTAAGTTCCAAAAAGCAGTAGTACAATGACCACTGAAGTATTACATAAAATAAATCAAAATAGTGAAGCCAAAATTGTGAAATGGATTGCTCTACTTATTTATTACAAATGTCAAAATCTCGTTTTGTCTCATTCTTGTGGACCCAATCTCGTGGTTTGTTTCATCTCGTGAAAATTGTGTCTCTTCCCAATCCTAGGAGGTAGCATTAGAACACAGTTTAAAGTTCACAGAGTCAGTTTTGTGTGCCTATAACCATCACTGGACTTGCTCTGCAGTCAAATTATGTTCACAACAAACCTATGGCTGTATTAGAATTATATTCAAGAGGCATACGGACTTCATTTGTTTATTTTCTCATTGTTAATTTGTGTTGCTGATTGCAGAGGAAGTTCTAACACATAAACGCCCCTATGGAAACAGAAGTGTAGTTTATAATATTTTCCAAATGCAGACATTATTTAAGTTTTAAAATGTGAAATACATAACTCGAGGTCACCGAAAAGCATGTGAATTAAGCCACATGAATGCATAATATGAGTTCTTTAAACCTGGGGTACCAGATGGCTACTATAAAAGCAGAACTTAGTGACTAAATATAACTGTTACTCACCGTTTACAGATCGACATATTAAAATCCCTACTGTCTCTCTCTGCAGTGTGAAAATCAAGTATTCTAGCTAACTGTAACTGTAGGGCAGGGATGACGGAAAGAAAAAGTAATTACAATGGAATTTTCTATTTAAAAACAGTAATTATATCTTTTATGAGTTCTCTGAACATGCACAGTTCTTGTAATTTAGAAAGTGATTTAGTTTTCTTTTTTAATGAGAATACAGTCAATGCACTTCTATATGCAAACGTGAACATATGGCACTGGCCACTTTTCACCACCCACACCCCCATCTGTCAGCCTCAGAGAATGACTATGATAAAGAGTCTGAAGAAGCAGATAATAATATTATTATTATTATTATTATTATTATTAATAATAATAATAATAATAATAATAATAATAATAATAATAATAATAATAATAATAACAATGATAAATAATAATAATAATAATAATAATAATAATAATAATAATAATAATAGAAGATTAATGTAGCTTTAGTTTGAAAATTGAGGTATTATGTCACATTGTCCATTATTTATTTAAAGCCACAACATCAGTATTAGGGCTGGAAATCACAGGGTCATTCATGATTGGATACTATACACAATGCATGACTCACAATATGGAGATACATGCCATAATCAATATATTGCTCATGGTACTCTGACATACTTTGATATATCACTATTTTTAAGAACTAAATACATTTTGGCACCAATATTTATTTGTGAAACTGCTACTATATCGAGGCCTAATCAAAACCTAATCAATATGGCTACGTATGTTTTGAAACATATCAAATGATTATTTACTAAGTTAAGTTTATTTTGCTTTTCTTTTTTACAAAATGATACTGCTTGGGTGCAACAGTATGACGCCATGTACAGTACAGTAGCAGACTAACCAGTTTCCAATGATCGCATGTGCACAGTTTAGACACATTAAATTAACATTTGAGGAAATATTGAAACAAACACTATTACAGGAAGTGTTTGTAGATTTCTGAGGTTTAACATGATTTTCCATTAAAAAACAGATTATATAAGTTGCTTGCAGAGCACATGTTACTATCTAAATAATTTGAATATTGAGTCCATTCAAATTGCTATTTCAATTTGACTGTGAGAGGCTATATTATGTGCTTCTTTCTAGACAATTACGCACGTTAACTTGAAAAATCTTGTAATTCTATGTAATTAAGTTGTTTAGTATCAGGCTAGGGTCCACAAAGTAAGTTTTTAAATGAATGAAAGCAAATATGCGCCCCCACTTGCCCCTACTGTTATTTATGACCTCTCTGTTTCAACACGTCCCAGCCCAATCATATGAAAGCAGTTTAGTTTGAGATCACTGAAAGTGCAACATAGTAATTGCAGTATATTGTAACTGTTATTTGGAGATATGAAAATAATGAAAAGAATATCAAGCATATAGTCTATACATGGAAAAAATGATTGACAGTTGACATCGAAAAGACCAAAACATCTAGTGTTTCCTTTCTAACAAAAGTATAAAGTTATATATCTGCACCTTTGTGGTTAATTGCATAGTCCATTTATGTTTAATGATAGACTTTATTCTAGGGTGACCAAACATTCCCATTTCTCCAGGACAGTCCCAGTTTTGAGCCGTGTGTCCCCTGTCCCAGCAGATTTATCCAAAACCACTGATTTATCCCAGTTTTTATGTGAGAAATGTTCCTGGTGTGCCTATTTTTAACCAATTTGATGCCTGCCAACAACAAAGAGAGGCATACATTGTCATTTGTATAGGTAAAATACAGAAAACCTGCTTAAAAATGCCCAAAGCACAAAGTAAAAGTGACTGTACTGACACGTGTTAGTCGTGAATGGGCCGACTACAGAACAGTTTTCCTTAATTATGCACTTGATTCATAATTTTATTATTACCAACCACCACAAACCAGGGGTGTCCCAGGCTTTTATTTTGAAAATCTGGTCACCCTACTTTATCCTCAACCAAGACATTTTATTTGGCATGTTTAATTCCATTATCAGATGCATTGTTAAAATATTGTCTGTATCAAGATTAATGCAAAAACATAAATAAAAATATAAATATAATACATTTTTGTCATTACTGTCCACCCAATCAGAATAACACAATAAACCACTATAAAATTTCGAATCAGTGTTTATAGCTTCATTTGGGTGACTGGATTTTCAAACTTCAAAAATTCAAAACTGGGACACAAATGGGTTGGGATGGTAAGTATAAATAAAACTGGGAAAAGGCCGTGTAAGATTATGCATTCTCGTGTCAGTCATGATCTGAGGAACTTCTGTCGCTGCATTTTTTTACTTTATAGTCATTCACAAACACAGATTTCTGTATTTTGGCTAAACAAAAGACAGTTTAAGATCCTCTTTATGGTTGGCAGGGTTCAGATTAGTCAAAAATTGTGATAGTCCTGGTTTAGAGTTGATGTAGTCCTGGTTTAATCTTAGGTTAGTCCTGGTTTAGATCAGATTGGCCAAAAATAGGGACATTTCTTGTAAAAACCTGGGACAAATCACTGATTATGTATAAATCAGGGGCCACAGGGCTCAAAACTGGGACTGTCCCGGGTAAACAGGGACGTCTGGTCACCTTAAGCTTCATTCAAAACTTTGACAGACCCCTCCTGTGAGCTTTGATTGTTCTTACCCAGTTTGGCTCGGGACTCCTCTAGCTGCTGGATCTGGTTTTCAATGAAGACCACGGCCACTCCAAACGCGAGCAGAGCCAGGAGGTAAAACTTCGGGGCCATCATCATGATCCGCAGAAGAGCCATCAAACTCACACGCAGCCTCTGATCCCTGGTGCTGGAGACTAGCCCCGCTCTGCAGCCTGCTACTGCGGCTAGGTACCACTCACTTTTCACGATCAGCCCTCACTCTAAGCCAAACAAAATGCATAGGATTGACTAGCGTTTGTGCTTCATGTTTCCGAATGTGAAAATCGTAGTTATTTACACGACGCGCTTTGATTTTTTGCAGAGAGCATCATTGCTAAACAGCATCACCCAATCTGGCACCGCTACTCTTGCTAAAAATATCCACTATTTTCTACGATTTCCATTCCGGTTTAGTCTTTAAAATCTGTCAGCTGTACGAGTGCAGTCTTAACGTGTTTCCGATCCGTAAAATACCCCAATCAAACGAGGAAAAGTCGAGGAAAAGCGTCTCTAAAGTCCAGAGTTGAAGGACTGTAGCATGAGTTAGCCTAGCATTGTTGACTTCTAAGATTGTTTTCTTCGGCGAGACAGTGCGCACGCTCACGCCCTCTAGTGGACCGGAGCACTGAAAATAAATACATTTTAATATTTTTTTATTTTATCTGAGGCAGTTCTTCAGTTATATTCAGTGTTGGGAAGGTTACTTTTAAAATGTATTGCCCTACAGATTACAGATTACATACCCCAAAATGTAGTTTATAGCGTAATCCATTAAATTACTTAAAGTGAGTAACGTAATCTGAATACTAGAGCCCGACCGATATGGATTTTGTTGTGACCGATATGAAACTGATATAATGGGAGTTGGAGCTGCCGATAGCCGATATAATCGCCGATATATTTAGTGATGTAAAAATTCACTGTAAATCTTGAATTGTTTAAAAAATTTAGGTTTGGCTCTAGTGGATTCTAAATTGGGTTTATTTAGGCAACATTTATTGTTATTCTGACTCTTTACATCATATTTACATACAGTAGATTGGCCTAATGGCATTTTTGCATCACATTCTAGCTACTAGTGATGGGTATTCCAGTTTTTTTTTTTTTTTTTGGAGAACCGGCTCTTTTGGCTCGGCTCACTAAAGCAGTTGGCTCTTTCGGCTCCCAAGCGACTCTTTAGACTGTTTTGTTGCAAGCAGGACTAAACCAGAACTGAACCAGGACTGAAAAAGGACTAAACCAGGACTAAAACAGATTTAAACCATGTGTGAAACAGGACTAAACCAGAAGTGAACCAGGACTGAGTGTCGGGACTCGGTCTCTATCTCTCTCTCAAGACCAAGATTAGTCCTGCTTTATTCATTTTATGCTGAACTGCAGCCAAATATGCACTTTTTTTTTTTTATCCTGTGCACACGCAGATTTCTGAAAGTTTCGTTTTCAGCCGCTGCTGCTGTCAAACTACGGGTCTACATGCGGCATGAAGAGAAAAAGTGAGAAAAAGAGAAAACACGGCTCCCAATAAGAAACATGCTCCCGTTGTTCACTTCAAAGAGCCGACTCTAAGAGCCGCTTCGATCGCGACCGACCCATAACTCCTAGCTAGAAAAGAACTATCCGCTATTAGCCTTTAGCCGTAAAAACGTGCGCACCGCGGTAATTAATTATATGCATAAATGTGGATCATTCACAGCTCATTTACATATCAATGCAGGTCCAGTAACAAATGTACGGACAATATAGTCACTTTACAATAGGCCAATAGAAAACAGCCTGTTTATGTGCGGGAGCTACAGCAGCTAATCGCTAATAACAAATAGCCAAAACAAAATCTTCAAAGTCGATGTATTTCCAACACTCACCGCTCACACAGGCTCCTCCTCACATCACAAGTCTGCACTAATAAAAGTTTTAATCCAGATGGTTTAGTCCTGTTAAATCCTGTTTTAGACCTGTTTTCGACCTGGTTTAGTCCTCGTTTATACCTAATTTAGACCTGGTTTTAGACCTGGTTTAGTGTCTGGCAATGAGTGGAATTACAAAAAAAAAAAAAAAAAAAAAAGTGAAAACAGGAAAATACCGCTGTGTAATCCATTTATTTCAACCAAGTAACTGTAATCCAATTACCACTCACTTAAACAGTAACTGTAACCGAATACAGTTACTCATAATTTGTACTCTGATTATGTAACTCTGGTACATTTAATCCATTACTCCCCAACACTGGTTATATTCTGAACTTGGCTTTTTCTAAGGGTGACCAGACGTCCCTATTTACCTGGGATAGTCCCACTTTTGAGCCCTGTGTCCCCTGTCCCAGCAGATTTATCAAAACCATTGATTTGTCAGCTTGTCAATTGTTGGCAACAATTTAAAACAACAACAAATCTGAAAATTAAGATAAATACATATTTCTACGATTATTTGTCTTGTCTTTGCTGCATGAACAAAAGGAACAGGAAGAAGATCAATCTTATAAACCCTTTCACAGATAAAAAAATGTAACATTTCTTTAATAATTGTTCCCCACACCAAAAACCAAACAAGTCACCAATCAATAAGCCATATGCATGTTACAGTATCTCTTGTGCTTTCATTAACTTTAAACATTTTCCTTAGTCACATAGTCCATCATTATTTTATCCTTGTACATTTTCTCGAATTTAGAAACACTAGTGCAACTTAAAATCATGATTTAACAAGTTCCACATCTTGACTCTCTACATAGAGACACATTTCTGTTTTAATGTCATCCTTGAGAATACAGTTCGGAAAAAAATATTGTCTTCTATGGTCACAATCCTCCGAGACAAACGTAAAAAGATTTTGTAGCGTTTCGGGTAATTGTCTTTGTTTGGCTCTCCACAGAACTAGTAAAATTTTAAGATCAACTAAGTCTTTAAACTTTAGTTGATTAGACTTAACAAACAGATGAGTGGTGTGCTCTCTCAGTCCCTTTTTATTGATTATTCAAATTTATACCAGAAATGTCCCTGGTGTCCTTATTTTTGACCAATTTGTCGCCTGCCAACAGTAAACAGAGGCATACACGGTAATTTGTTTAGGTAAAATACAAAAAAAGCTGCTTAAAAATGACCAAAACACAAAGAAAATGTGACTATACACTCACATGTTCATCATGAATGGTCTCTGCATAACAATTTTATTATTATCAGCCATAAAAAAAAAACTAAAAAAAACAGGGATGTTTTTTTTGTTTTGTTTTTGTTTTTTTAAAATTCTGGTCACCCTACTCTTTCTCCATTTGGATATTTGACTAGTTTTATTTCAGCCTGTCTGAAACTTCAATTCATATTAAAGTGAAATGGCTAATTTGACTTCTTATCAAGGTCATGGTGATCAAAATAGCGAGAGAGATCTGACTGCAGACCTCCACCAAGAGGACCCAACCTGCAGGCCACCACCAGGAGACCCTCATGTGACTTATTTCTACCCACGGGTCTCTAAAGGCAAAAAACAAAAAAAAAAAACAACCAACCAAACAAACAACATTTCCTCACTACGTTTTAAAACATAAGCTTACAAAAGTTCACATTGTATTACACTAAAGACAGGCCCAAAACGATTTCCTAACTTTAACCATGACAGATTTGTGCCTTATATAAAGCAGACACAGGGCCTACTAAAGCAACACATGGACAAACTACATAAAACGCCTCTGGGTTTTTACACCATTGTACATATTGACAGTTTGTGACAACTGTTAATTTCCCTACACAAGGAAAGTAGAGCAGAGATTCATTTCAAATTAGTTTTAGGAATATATTGGCAATTATATATTTTTTTAAATATTTGAAATGAGATGTATCACCTTCAGTAACCTTTAATAGCGAACTAAACTAAAAAGTAAACCAATGAGAACATGTCAGTGGAAGAGCGTCCTGGATAAATAATGATGTGACTAAGAAATATATTGCAGCTAATGAAACGTAAACCACAAAAGGAAACTAAACATGCCTGTGACTCATTGGTGTCTTGGTTTGGGTGGGGAACGATTATGATTTTAATGATCTGTGAAACGAGCAGGGTTTATAAGATTTATCCTTTTCCTGTTCCTTCTGCTCATGCCAGTAAGAAAAGGCACATAATGAATGGAACCTGGATTTTTTGTCATTCTCTTTAAATTAAAGCAAACAAAATGAGATGACAAGAGAAATACATAAATACAATATAAATAGACTTAAACTTAGGCAAAATGTATTGATTCACAAAGGAAATTATTTGGGCACAGTAGCTCACACATCACAATATATTATTATAACAAAGATCAAAAATATAAATGGCCATAATACATTCTAAATAAGTAGCAAAAAGGAGCAAGAGGCTGGTGTCAAATAAGACATAATTATATAAATGTAGTACAGTAAAAAATAAAACTGAAACACTTTATACAAGCAGTCGTAGGAAGATGAGGTGAGTTGTAGTACAGTTGTAGGGAGTATTATGTGTTGCATAAGGGTGAGTTATTGTACAGTTGTAGGGAGTATTATCTGTTACATAAGGGTAAGTTGTTGTACAGCTGTAGGGAGTATTATCTTTTACATAAGGGTGAGTTGTTGTACAGTTGTAGGGAGTATTATCTGTTACATAAGGGCAAGTTGTTGTACAGTTGTAGGGAGTGTTATCTGTTACATAAGGGTGAGTTGTTGTACAGTTGTAGGGAGTATTATCTGATACGTAAGGATGAGTACATACATACATAAATTACAAAACACAGAATTGCAATATCCGTAGTATTATGTTGCTGATTAGCCAAATAAATACATAAATACATACAGTACATACATGAAAGAGATCAAAATTGCTGTTGTTGCTGATTTTCCTACTTGAAAATAATATAGGCCTAATCTATAAATTCAGAGAAAACTTTCAGCATTGGGGATCTGAGGCAAAGCTCCAACACATACTTATCTTATTTTCAATACTCAAATTAACTAGTAATAATACAGGTCAGCAGTAAATCATCTGAATAGCCTGTCTACCACCTCATGCGCACACACACACACGCACACACACACACACACACACACACACACACACACACACACACACACACACACATACATGCACACACACATATGCACACACAGACACACACACATAAGGCCCACACTGTCACCAGCCCCTGTCACCTTTGTCCCTATTTGTCTGTAATCTTTGATCGTAATGTCTGTCTTGTGTCTTGTATGTTGTTTGGTTCCTATTTTTTGTAATATATGTAGTTAGCAAATAAAATAAAATAAAAAAATAAAATAAAATAAAACTTTCAGCATAGGCTACAAAACATTTTGGTCAATTCTGTTTCTCAGTCATAAGGCTAATGAATTCACGTTCTGATCCAGTGACAGTTCTGTAGGACGACTGTACTGCCACTAGAGGGAGCTAGAGTTCCAAGTATGTATCATGTTTATATAGTCCTATTAAAAATAACCATAATGCACTTCACATTTCACTGTTTTCAAAAGCATTACCGACCTCGCATTTCACAGACAGTAAGCCTGAAATGTACTGACCTCCATCTATATTTTTTTGTCTAT